CCCAATCTACAATTCAAGGGGAGAATTGGAATGAATTGCAGGTTAGAATGAGTGATAACATGAGTGAACCACCTTTGCCAAATCCCATACCTTACCATTTGGCCCTTGACCTCATAGATCTTGACAACCCAGGCCTAAAAATTGAGACCCGCAACACCAAGGCCACCACCCTATCTGAAAACATGAGTAATGTGTCAAATCCTAGTCCCAAAGAGAAGGAGAAGTCTAACAGGGGTAGATACCAAATTTGCACCGATGACAAGTAAAGAGATCTATGCCCTAAGCGCTGATCAAGAGTCAAAACTGGATGTAGGTCCAAAAGAAGATAATGGTGGTATTGTGCAAGAATCAAGGTATGATGATAATCTCGATTTTCCTATAGCTGTGAGGAAGAAGCTAAGAGCCTGTACTAAGCATCTTGTGGAGAAATTTGTATCCTATCAAGCATTGTCGACCAAATTTTGTGGATTTATTGCCCACCTAGATAATGTCATAGTACCAAAGAATATTGAAGAAGCCTTGGCTGTACTTGAATGGAGGAAATGGAGGCGTTGACAAAGAATGATACTTGGGACGTTCTAGAGTTACCTCCAAGTAAGAAAGTAGTTGGATGTAAGTGGGTTTTTACACCCAAATATAACATTGAGGGAAGTCTAAGCAAACATAGGGAAAGACTTGTTGCTTAGGGCTTTTCCCAAGTATATGGTATAGACTACATTTAGACTTTTGCACCAATAGCCAAGTTAAATATTGTCAAAACGTACATAGCTGTTCCAGCTGAAATACTTAGAATAAGTCTACCACTTCTACTAGAAGTAGCCTTTTTAGTGCTAGCTGAACGTAAAGTAATGGCTTTTGTTCAATGTCAAAAGGGTCTTGATGTAGTGGGATTGTTTGGATTGTTACAACCTCTAGCAGATGGTTTGAAATTGATTCTAAAAGAACCTATTTCACCAAGTAGTGCTAATTTCTCCCTTTTAGAATGGCTCTAGTGGCTGTATTTATGTTAAGTCTGGTCGCTTAAGCCGTTGTACCTTTTGATTATGGTATGGTATTGTCAGATTCAAACATAAGGCTACTTTATTTGTTTGCCATATCTTTGTTAGGTGTTTATGGCATTATTTCAGCAAGTTGGTCTAGTAATTAGGGGGCGGCCGTTCGGTTGCCTATGATACTAGACTAACAAGTCAAAACTTTGTTTGTGCCGCAAGTGTTAAACGACCTATTACTCAAGTGTGGGCTTACAAAGCTTGGTCTCATATAAACCCTTTCTTTCATTCAAAAATAGGGCCCTAGTCGATCACTTTTTTGGGTCGAGATCAATAAGTGGAAGTCATAAAAAATAGATCTTTCTCTTTGCACCTTAGATCAAGAGGAAGGGTAGATCTTTTCTCAAGCTTGATTCGCAATAGCTATCAGTTCAAGCAGGAAAGCTCGTGTATTCTTATTCTAACGTCCATTGGAGCATTTTCTTGAGAATTATCTTTGTCACTATTGGCTTGAAACCAAGACCCTTTCGCTTTAATAGTCCTGTCTATAGGTTTGATAGTGTGTTGCTATGTCTCTATATCTCGACCGTTGACTATGACCTGGACACTTTGGTCTTGCTTTGATGGTTATTGGTTGTTTGAATCTCTCCTCTTCTTTTATTTCAAGTGTTTGAGTCAATCATTTACTCTAAAGAGAGTGAGCGACCTGCTAGTAGGCAGGAGTAGGAATGAGGAATAGAATAGGTTCTTCTATCTTACCACTATGCCCCCCCTTGTATAGTAAGGCAATAGGGTTACCTGAAATAATTCTCTCACTAGTAGCCAACCTTGATTGGCTGTTACATCAATTAGATCTGAAGAATGCTTTCCTAAATGGTGAGTTGAAAGATGAAGCATATATAATGTTACCTCCTAGGTTTCTAGGGAATAAACCAAATCAAGTATGCAAGTTGAAAGAAGTCTTTATATGGGCTAAAGCAGTCTCCTAGGGCTTGGTTTGAAAGACTTACATAGGTACTCAAAAAGGCAAGGTTCACACAAGGTCAAAGCGATGACACTATGTTCTTCAAACACCGTGGTAGTAAAACTATTGTATTGTTGGTGTATGTGGATATATGGTCCTTATAGGTGATGATCTTGAAGAGATCAAAAACCTTAAAAATGTACTAGCCCAAGAATTCCAGATAAAAGGACTTGGAGAAATGAAGTACTTCCTAGGTTTGGAGGTGGCAAGATCCAAGAAGGGAATCTCTGTTTCCTAGAGAAAATATGGGCTAGATCTCTTAAAGGAGACTAACATGCTGGGATGCAGACCTAGTAATACTCCTATTTGGATTGACAAGATAAGCAATGAAGAGGACGTTGGCAAGTTTGTTGACATGGGTGGGTATCAACATATGGTGGGAAAACTGATTTACTTGTTACATACAGGCTGGATTTTACCTTTGCAGTTGGAATGGTAAGTCAAAACTCAAACAACCCTAACAGAAACACTTGAATGAGGTCTATAGAATTCTCAGGGATTTGAAAGGTACTCCTGGAAAAGGTTTGTGGTTTAAGAAATCTGAAAAACAGAATATTGAAATTTTCACAGATGCAAATTGGGCATGTGATCAAGAAGATAGAAAGTCTACATCTGGATACTGTATATTTGTTTGGGGAAACTTGGTTACTAGGAGAAGCAAGAAGTAGAGTGTGGTTGCTTGTAGTAGTGCAGAAGCAGAATTTCGAGCCATTGCTTGAGAAATTTGTGAAGGTATATGGCTCAAGAGAGTTCTTGAGGAACTAACAAAAAATGTGAACTTGCCTATTACTCCATACTCTAACAACATGGCGGCAATTAGCATCTCACACAATCCTGTCCAACATGATAGGACTTAGCACGTTGAGATGGACAGACATTTTATCAGAGAGAAGATTGATAGTAGCATCATCAAGATGAGGCACATACCAATAAGGGAGCAAACAACTGATGTTCTCACCAAAGGATTGACTAGAGATAAGTTTGATTATTTCATTAGCAAGTTGGACATGATTAACATCTATGTTCTAACTTGAAGGAAAGTGTGGAAATATAGAAATAATATTTTTCTGTTACTAGAGTTTATACAGTAGACTCAAATAGGATCAGATATATTAGAGGATTATTCTGTTTTTATTTCTTTTCTCTGTAAAAACCTAGAATCTTGGCCTAGATGGAGGCTATCCTCATGTATATAGTCAGTCGACTCCCAAAAATAAAATATAATTCAGTTCTGCGCATTCCTCTTCAGATATAGAATGAAAACCCCTTCTCTAATGCAGAATGCAGCTAGCTTCTTGAAGGATTAGGTTTCTTTTTTTCACTTCAAGGCCCAAGCCCATTAGTTGCTTCGTAAATGAGAAATTGAATGCTGTATGTGACTGCCTCCTTTCATAAATTAAAAGACTATTGGGCCAAAGAAAATTTTTCCTGTCATTTAGTTTTGGGTTTCTACCCCAACTAATTTCATTGACCTGATCCATGACCCAGTAACTCCTCAACTTTGCTGCTTTGCTCTTTTTCAGTCATTGACAAAACCCTAGCTTGCTAATTTCCGTTCTTTGGCTTCACTCTATTGCTCTGTCCAGTAACAATAGGCTCTTTCTCTTCCCCTTCTACTTCAACCTTTGATTTCTTCTTAGCTTCAGCATGCATCTTCTTTTTGTTCTCTTTTCTTAACTCTTCCCTTTCATCTCTGATAGCTTCTTTCATTCCATCCATTATACAACTTTTTGTATAAAATCCTTGTGCACTTCTCCAATTTCTTCAGCATTTCCTCCATTCTTTCTGTCATACCTATCAGCATTTCTTTCATCTTGGCTGCTGCTGTTGCCATTTCTGTTTGTAAATTTGCTATACTACTTTTCATGCTCCCACTAATCGATCGCTCTAATACCAAATGATGGACCCCTCTAATCTATAAGGTTACAGAAAATACAGTACAAATGGGGACTGAAAATACTACAGCTGGATAATAAAGTTGAATTACAGGGAAAATAATGATTCAAGCCAATCTCATCTCACACAGTCACGCTCATATACTTAAACAAATGATGAAGAAAGATTATTTTCCTCTGCCCCCAACCTAGCATTCGAGAGGCTAGATCTCTCCTCACTGCTCTTCAATTCGAAAAGATTCCACACACTTCTCTCCAGTTAAAGGGAAAGATTTGAAGACATGAAAAGTTACAAAAGGCTGAACATACTCGTAGCTACACCTAATCCCTATTCATACACCACTTCTTCCCATATGGCCAAGAACCTATGGGTGATTCTCTTATCCACCAGAAGATAATGCTTTAGTCTCTTTCCTACACCATTTCCCCTCCCATAGATTATGCTATAAACCCTAGGAAATGATATATATATCTATTCTAATTCTTCAGCTCTATCATAGTCACACGTAAAATGTTCTGCATGAAATGGCCAGAATTTGATGGAATATCTGGTAGAAATTATTTTGACCTCTTAAAACATGTTAAAAGATGAAAATATGACAGGTAAGAGAGAAACCATGGACATTCATGCCACTTTTTTATATGCATGGATATCCATGATTTCTCTTCCTTACTGCTCCTGCTTACAACTTTAAACATGTTATAGGAGGTCAAAAGTGTAATTTCGATATTGATTTTGCACAGCAAGGGATTTGAGTTATGTTTTTATTTTCTTTTATTCCATTTTCTGGAACAATCCTTGGCTTTCTTCTCTCTATTTTTTTTTTTTTTGGCTTTCCTGCCATTTGTATTACAAGCTAGAGTCATTTTACTTTTGATGATTTTCTGTCAGCAGTGCATGGGAATTAGATTGTTACAATTCTAATATTCATTTCACATGAGGAATATTACTGCTTGCTATTGCGCTTTGAATTTACCAATGAACAATGAAAACCTGACATCCATGACTTCAGGCATGAGTCATGACCAATATGTATTCATTTAACAATGGCATTTGATATGTGTTGCTTATTTTCCTTATTTTCTTTTCAGAGTTGCCTGCTACATATTCAAAATGCCAATCAGAAAATGATTATGACTTTTTTGTTGCTAGTGGGGCAAGGTAAGAGAACTTCTCTGAGGTGTGTGGCGAGTTTGGAGTATGCTTTCTGAAGTTGTTTTGTATTGTAGCAGATGTTGTAGATCTGATGCGAACTTCCATGTACAAAGTTTAGTGCCGGAAGATGTAAGGGACAATTCAAGCTTGCTTAGGTAACATAAAAATGATCTCTTCTTTGAAGTTAACTTTATCCCCTTCCTTATAACTAGTGCTTTGACTAAGATTTTTTAACTTTGTCAGTGAAGAATCATGCTCATCCACTGCAGGTAATATAATATTCCTCTTTCTTGCAAAATGGTTAGATATATAATTTTAGGATATTTCCATTTGATGCATAAAAAGGGTAAAGGTTATTTGTTTGTTGGATACTTGTCTTTTCATGTCAGTGAGAAGTGAGGCAATCACTTATTCACCATCAAGATTAGCGACTGGGGAGACTAGTGAAGAACACAAATATACTTTTGGGAGCGCTGGAAATGAGCGTAGATCCAATGAAGGCAAATGCAGAAGCACGTCAAACTTATCAAAGCAAAGGCCATCTCATTATTCAAATTCTATTCTTGAGGAAGACATATGTGTTCATAGTGGTTGGCAGTTTGAGAAAAGATATTCTCCAGTTAATATGAATTCAGGTGACTCTTCATTCTGTCAAAATTTAGGGGCAAAGTTTGCAGCCCTTGGTTCGAATAATGGGAATGAAGATCCTTTTGGCATTTTTTCTATCCCTGAATCACGTAAAAAGGCCAGTTCTTCCTTTAGTGGATTAAAGAGTGGTGCACATGCTTGTGATTCTCCTCCTTGCTGTTTTACCTCTGCAAAGTTTGCGTTCGGTGAATCACATGTATTCTCAGATGTTCCATCATGGTCAGCTGGCCCTGATTTTCCCCCAAAATATCAATTAAAAGGCAATCTAAAAAATGTTTTTAGCTTCCATTGCGGGACTCCATCTCCTGATTTACATGAAAATTCTGTCAGAGATGAGGATGTTGAACTGAAAATGCAACAAGATTGCCATGGAAATTCTGAAATAAAAAAGGAAATTTTCTTGGGGAAGAATAGATATTTCTCAGAAAAGGAAAGAGCAGGAGTTACTTCAACTTCCAATAACCATACTCAAGATTGTGGAGTTGAGAAGGACCCAAACCTGCTGATAACACAGAGTCTGGAGACAACAAAATCACTTGGCCATGTGGAGGAGATGTCATCTTCATTGATCAAGAAACCGGACAAAATTGAAACAGAAGTAGATAATACAAAGTATGTTTGGTCTCAATTCACATTTCTTTTCCTCATATGAAATGTGTACTAAAAAACTGTCAATTTCATCAGGCACAACTGTGATGCTGAAACCCCTCTCAAATATAAAATTGCAAATGAAGGTATGCAATTTATTGGCTCTCTAATCTCCCTCATACCTTCTTGCTATTGTACCGTTTTGGAAATAGGACTTTGATAGAAATCCGTTTTTAGTATATAAAAGGTGCAAGAAAGATTCCAGTCAATATGCAACAATGGGATTAGTTGATGAGGAAATAATTCATATGGAATAACTACCTTTTTATGTGCCGTCTGAATTTAATCATTGCAGTTTATGTTTCTTATCTTAAATGTGCTGTGTTGTCAAGTTGTTAGGATATTAGTATGATGTGCTGTCAATTTACTGTTATAACTGTTGTTTATGGTTTTTTATAATTGCAAGACGTATTATGGAATGGCATGGATATTTTTTGACTCATAATTTGGAGATTCTCCTTCTTTGGCTTTATCTAGTTTGTATGAGATTCTTGTTCATACTTAGAGATTTATTTCCCTACCCTGTTTCTTAGGTTCTAACTATTTGTTCTTCGAGCCTGATTATCCCTAGGATGGTGAGTACTAGAAATAGTTGTAATCACCCCATTGCTCCTACTGTGAATTCAAATTTTCTAGAATTTATAGTTCAGCAATTAAACCAACTTTCTTCTCATCCGAATGCTGTGGACGAGATTTCAACGGAATTAGCAGCCCTGAAATTGCAGCAGCAACATCTCTTAGATGACACAGGGCAATCCTCACGAAAGAAAGGCAAAGATCATGAGAATCCTTATGCCACAATAGAAGGGGAGGACGAAAGAAACATGCCTTGGTGGCTTTGAAACCCATCAAGAAGACCTCATACCAAAGTTGATTTCCAAAGTTTGAAGGTGGAGACCCCAAAGGCTGGATATTAAAGGCTAAAAATATTTTTGATATTATCAAACTCCTGAAGATATGAAAGTCAATGTAGCAACCATATACCTTGAGGGTGACAAACTAGATCTCTTTTCTTGGGCAAACTCAGAACATTCGATCCTTTATTGGGATGACCTCATGTGCATGTGACAAGATCCAAGATAGGTAGAGAAAAATTAAAAAAAGAAAATAAATCTTTATGTAAATATGAAATTTATTGGGATGGCTTCATAAATTAACAATGATGATGGAAAATCTTTAATAGAAGATGGGCAAAAATTTTAAACTTATACAACTAATAAAGTAAAAGGAGAATCTCCACTGATAAAAATCATGATTTAATTCCAGATGCCCGTTGCATGATATGTGCCTTATTATTTATATATAGAAAAATAACTGATAATTCCTAAAAATGCTCCCATTAATCCATGACTCATAATGGGGTATAACTACCTAAAAATAAATAAATAAATAAATACTAACTTAATCTCAAAGTACCATAACCCACTACTCCTAAAGTTAAGGGCCACTCAACAAAATAGACAATAACCAAAACAGTATATTAAATAGGAAATATCTAAAATAACTTAAAACTAATATTTATTTCTAATATTTCTCTAACTTTCCAAATTATCCATTATCCCACCATAATCAGTATCCTATCGACGCTCCCCCCTTGAAAATTCATGTTGTCCTCAAGGTGAGACATATGCAGTAGCTTTGTCGTATATCTGGGGAAGGTTTAGAAGGGAGTAATAGGTAAATAGTAACATCCCTAATTTGGGTTCCAAAGGATCGAAGAATAGCCTGCATTGAAACGTCAAGGATGAAGTTGCAGTTAGACCCACTATCCACCAAGTTCAATACGTGGTATTCAAAGAAGTTCTCTTGAAGCTTTATTGCAGATATTTTGTTGCTAGCTAGAATAGCATTAAGAGAAATTTCAGCACTTTCAGGTTCAAGTTCTTTGATTTCAGCATCTTTAAGAGGTAGAACAACTTCCTCCCCTTCTTCTGTAATTTCCAGCGACAAAAAGGACCCTCTGCAGTGATGTCCATGCCTAAAATTCTCACCATATCTAACACACAGATCCTTCTCCCTCCTGTGTTGCTGTTTGGACTTAAGTAAGGGAGTTCTGGTCAACGACATACATTGAGAACTGGGAGCAATTGAAGAGGTAGAAGATCCCTTGAGCAAGTTCACAGATGATGCTGTAATAATATATGAAATATCTAAAATAACTTAAAACTAATATTTATTCTTAATATTTCTTTAACTTCCCAAATTATCCATTATACCATAATTGATATTTTATTACCACGCTTGAGGAGAATTTTGGCCTTACAGAATTTCGAAACTCTTGATGAATAACTTTGTGGAGTCAAGTGGCGAGGTACGATGCAAGAGTGTTGATTAGTATTTACCTTAAGGTTCGTGAGAGTGAAAAATTGGCTAGGGCATTGTTAGGGGTTTTTCTAAATGGGTTTAAAGAACTTTGCAAAAGAACTTCAGGCTGATGTCAGGATTCAAAAGCCCAGAACAGTTTACATGGCTGAGTTTAGCCCTAGAATATGAGTCCAAATTATAATATTCTAAACTACCCAAAACTTATGGAACCCCTCAAGTGAATTGTATGAACGTAGCCTCTACTTGGCCTTCAAAAGACACTCATGCAATAGTTCAATGTCTACGCATACAACGGCCAACACGTCCACTCACAACGCACCAACACGTCTTGGGATGTAGAGAAATAGTTAAGGCGTGACAAAGGTTTTTGTTTTTGTTATGGAGAAAATTTTTTTCCAAGCCATTGCTATAGGTCTACCAATTTGACTCAGGGAATTCTCTAAAGAACTTGAGAACCAGAGCATCTTGAAGTATTGAACTCAGAAAGCAAACAGGAAATTCACGTAGAAATCTTGTTGCATGCTATTCTAGGACACCCTTTAAGTACTACTATGAAAATGGAAGGCCTATTGAAACAATGGAAAGAGCTTATTTTGATTGATAGTGGTTCTAGCCACAAGTTCATCTCTTCTATGTTGCTGCCAAATTTGCGGTTTCCAACTCAACCTGTCCCTCCTTTTGAAGTACAGATAGGTAATGGTCATATCATTTATTGTAATCAAATGTGTCCTCAAGTTGCAATTCGGGTTCAGTTGCTAGAAATCCTAATATTTCTTCCCCTTCTCAATAGGTGGTTTTGAATTAGTGTTGGGAATCAAGTGGTTGTCGTCTTTGAACACAATCCAAGCAAATTGGCAGTGCATGTTCATGGTTTTTTGGGCCAATGGCAAAAGATACAAACTACAAGGAGTCTAATCTGGATTCGATGTCTCAAAAGCCTCTTACAGAGTAGGAAAATTTTCAACACACTGCAAGGTTTATTTGATGAGTATGTTTCTGTTTTTGACACTCCATCCACTTTTTAATAGATTCCACTCCATTACTTTTCAACCTCAAGCTACACCACTAAATATCCGACCATATAGGTGTCCACATTAACAAAAAGATGAAATTGAATGACAAGTTGCAGAATTATTATCAAAGGGTTTTATACAATCAAGTGAAAGCCCATTTGCAAGTCTTGTGTTACTAGTAAAAAAAAAAAAAAGATAGTTCATAGAGATTCTGCATTGATTGCTAGGAATTGAATAAGATAACTGTTTTTGACAAATATCCCATTCTCAATATTGACGAGCTATATGGGGCCATAGTCTTCTCAAAGATTGATTTGCGTTCAAGGAACCACCAAATCAAAGTTAAACATGAAGATGTTCATAAAACTTCCTTCTGGACTCACTGAGGCCATTATGAATTTACAATCATGGCATTATGTCTCACAAATGCTCTAGCTACCTTTCAATCTGTTATGAATGACCTCTCCTCTCCTTATCTGAGGTGCATTGTCCTTGTCTTCTTTGACAACATGTTGGTCTATAGCTCTCTACTTTGGCTAACCATCTAGTGCATCTTCGAATAGTCCTTACAAGCTTACAACAGAGTGCTTATTTTGCTAATGGGAAGAAATGTTCTTTGGTTTTCCTCAGATTTATTTTTTGGGACATGTCATATCATCTAGCGAAGTTGTGAAGGACCCTGCTAGGATACAAGTTGTGATGGAATGGCCTAGACCAAGTAATGTAATTGAATTGTATAGGTTATTACTGATGATTTGTGCGTTACCACGGCCAACTTGCTTGACGACTCACTGGTCTCACCAAACATGGGGCATTTCAATGGTCCTCTTGGGCTGAGCAAACTTTTCAGAAACTCATATGCACTCATTAATGCCACTATTCTCCATTTGCAAAACTTCAACAAGCCTTTCATAGTGGAATGTGATGCTTCATCATTAGGAGTCCAAGAAATTTTTAGCCAAGAAGCTCATCCTATTGTTTACTTGAATAAAGGATTCTCATTCTGTAATTGTATCAAATCTACCCATGATAGGGAATTGCTGGCACTGGTGTTGTAACTCTTCAGAAATGGCATCATTACCTTTGGGTTGCCATTTTGGCATCTATATTGATCATTACAATCTTCAATATTTGATGAACCAATGAATGTTGACCCCAGAGCAGCAACGGGTTATAATGAAGTTATTACCTTTTGGTTTCACCTCAGACAGGAGTGGATGTACTAACAGTGGTGTCGATGCGTTGTCACAATGGCCTCAACATGCAGATTTTTTGGCTTTAGCCATTCCGCATGGTGAACACTTTGATGATCTTGAGACTTGGTTTGATTAGGACCCATACTAGTACAACATTAAAAATTCTATTTTACAAGATCCGGTTGTCACTGAACATTATGCATTGATTAATGGGAAGCTGTTTTATGATGGGCATTTAGTCATTCCAGACCATCCTACTATCAAATCAAAGTTAATGGCAAATGCTCATTCTTCCCTTACAAGTGGTCACAAAGGTTACCTACGAACTCTAAAAAGGTTACAAACCGATTTCTTTTGGCCACATATGAAACGAGATATCAAGTTGCATGTTCAAGATTGTAATGAGTGCCAAATCTCTAAATATCAAACTTTCTCCAGTAGCACTGCTCCAACCCATTCCTCCTCAACACCATGTTATGGGAAGATATTTCTGTGGACTTCATTATTGAATTACCCAAGTCAGGTGGGATTGACACCATTTTTGTGGTGGCCAACCGTTTCAGTAAATACATACATCTCGGCCTTTATCACCCTTTTACTGCCAAATCTGTAGCTGCTTTATTTAGTCAAGAAGTGGTTTGGCTTCATGGTATCCACGCTTCAATAATTTCTGATTGGGATACAGTCTTGCTTAGCATTTTTTAGTAGGAATCTTCCGTCTGAGTCATACACAACTTAGGATGAGTACACCATATCATTCACAGAGTGATGGACAAACAAAAGTGGTAAAGCAATATGTGGAGACATACTTATACTACCTTGCTCACAAGCAGCCCAAATTATGGAGTAAGTACCTTCCTTGGGCTGTGTACTCTTTCAATACGAGTTTCTGTACTGCTACAGGTTATACTCCCTTTGAGATTGTATATAGCTGTCTCCTTCCACTTGTCCTACCTTATGTGTCTGGTGAAGCCAAGGTTGCCGATTTAGAAACTCAACTAGAGGGAGATGCTCTATTACAACTAATTTGGAATAACCTCATCAAAGCTCAATCCAGAATGAATGCTTAGGTAGATACACACAGAAGGGATCTTAGTTTCAATGAAGGGGATTTTGTCTATTTACTTATCTAGCCTTATCGCCAATTCAGTTTAGCCCATACCAGATTGTTGTCACCATGCTTCTTTGGCCCTTACCAGATTGTTCGTAAAGGCGGGCCTGTTGCTTTTGAACATCTCCCTTCAGATGCCAAGATTCATCCTATTTTTCTTGTTTCTATGTTGCATCCTGCTCATGGTGCTCCTTCTCCTTCCACGCCTCCTACACTTCCCACTTTTGGACACTTGGGAGCTTCATTTACGGCTACATGTTCTTGCTTATCGTTGGACTACCACCATATTGGAAATACTTATCTCTTGGCTTGGACGTCCTCAACAGGAAGCAACTTGGGAGGAATGTGACCTCTTTCATGATCACTTTCCTCATACTGATAGGAATCCCAGCCAATATGCAACAATGGGATTAGTTGATGAGGAAGTTATTCATGGCGAATAAGTACCTTTTTATGTGCTGTCAGAATTTTATTATTGCAGTTTATGTTTCTTAAGTGTGCTGTGTTGTCAAGTAGTTAGGATATTAGTATGATATGCTGTCAATTTACGGTTATAACTGTTGTTTTATGGTTTTATATAATTGTAAGACATTATGGAATGGCATGGATATTTTCTGCCTCATAATTCGGTGATTCTCCTTGGCTTTATCCAGTTTGTGTGACATCTTGTTCAGACTTAGATGAAGATTTATTTCCCTACTCTGTTTCTTAGGTTCTAACAGACTTCGTTCATGTTCATTATTCTCTGGATATATATCTTTTTACAGAAAAGGAAAATTGGCAGCCTCATGAAAGAAGCCTGGTAGCTAGAAAATATAATAAGAAAGGGAATAACTTTTCCGGACAGGTAACGTTTGAGAGCTTTGTTTTTCAGCTTGTGTGTGTTCAGAAGGTGTTGAAAGGAGGCAGCCTTACTTACACCTAATTGCTATAGGGGTTCTTGTTAAACACAACAAAGGAACTATATAGAACATTATTTAATATATGGACTGTTGTCCCAAACTGATAATATGCTAATTTCTGCTCCATATACGCCTGCGGATCATTTCCGTTTACGGAGTGAATGTGAAGAATGAATTTGGAGAGTGTGGTTGTGTATGATTCCCGCATCTTATAATTCGGTATAAGGCTCACTAATCAGCTTTTCTCCATCTCTCTTCAAATGTACTATTTTCAGTCGTTGTGTCTATAGAGTATTCGAGCGGGTTTGATGCTTCTATAACCGTGCTTGTGATTCAGGTGAAGCTTTTATATGTATTCCTTTAGTTTAATATTATAAGGTATTTTTAATTAAATTATACTTCCAATAAGTTAGTTAATAAGTTAGTTAATTGTTTTTAAAATTACACATTTTAATGTGATGCCTCAATTAAATAATCTTATAAATTACACTCCTTAATTGAGAATATTTTTGGAAAAACCTTATTAATTATGAAAATTTAAAATACTTTGTATTTTTTAACATCTTATATGAAAAAAAATGCCTTATATTTTTAAATTGAGGACGACAACACACAGTCAGGCATATTCATGAAACTCTTGGAAATTTTTTCCTTTGCGTACTGCTACTTTGCTAGCTAAATTTTATGTAGCAAATAATTGTTAGAGGAGTAATTACAATATATTCTCAAAGTGTCATGTTCTCAATTATAATCACTTTAATAAAATAATCCCAATATGAGTGTACCAAAAAGAAGTCGAGAAGGGTGCTTAAATAAGAAAAGACGCGCCCATAAATGCCATAACACACCAAGAGGATCTAATAACGGTTCATATCCTTTGTTTCCCATGGTAAGCTTTTCTAGCAAAATTTCATCTCATGTGATATATGACGTTCACGCCACTTCCTCTTATTGACGAATGAGACATTTAGCTAAGGGGGAAACAAAAAAGAATGGACTTTTGTTAAAATAGGTAATTGTGTGAGATGTGTTAGGAGAATAGTCTTTGACAATGAAGGGGCCATTGCTAACCATAATCTGTCTTACTTTCTCTAATTTTATTTTTAAATTACTTTCAATATATTTTGTTGGAACAAAGGAAAATTTTAAATCTTATAAACTCTGTTTTAAAATTCATTGAGTTTTCACTTTTAGCTCCTAACATGGACAAAAAGAATTATGTTTTAATAATTGTTCTTAGTATTTAATAAGGGTAGAAATGTAAAGATGAATATAAAAAAAATAGTGAAGTGTTATATACATATGATCAAAATTAATTTTTTTTTTCTATCATAGAAATAGGACCAGAGATCATGGGAGTATATTGTAAATGTAGAACACAACCGACCACTTTTAAGAACTTTTTTACCTTTTTTTTAATTATTTATTTATTATATATCTGAAGATGGTGAAAAATGTGGGGCTTAGAGTGAAAAAAAAGGTGAGATGGGACTCATTGTGAAAAAATAAAAAGATGTCAAGATAGCATCAAATGTATAGTGCGTATGCATATTACGTGTGATAAATTTTCGAAGTAGTTAACTTTTTAAACATACATGGAAGCAATAAATTATAAAATAAGAAAAATTGTTATTTAGATTTTAAATTTTGCGGATGAAAAATTATGGAATAAAATAAATTGATTTATTTTTAAAATGCTCATTGATAATAAATTATAAAATAAAACTAAATGCTTTTAATATTTCAAGATGATACAAGGGTGAAAGTGGAATCATGGTAGTTCAAAATGGAACCTAAAGCACAAACAACAAACAAAATGAAACAAAGAGAAGAACAAATATAAATGATCAAGGAAAGGATAAGGAAAGGATCTTTAAAGCATTTGCCTTTGACAACCTTGGTTTTCGAGACACTACAAGAGTTGATCAGACTCTTGATAGTAAGATCATGCAACCACACCTAAGAGAAGAGGTCAAATTGGATGTTTAACAAATTTTCAAATTAAATAAAAACTTTCGCAAAGTTTAACACAATCATAAAAGAGAATAAAAGCAAGAATTTTGGTTGCAAAGTTTTAACAAAAACACTTGAAGGAAGATACGCACAAGTGAATAAACAAATAGAAATTAGGAAGAGCTTCAAATGTTGATTTAGAAGATAAGTAAAAACAAGTTTGTGCAACTTCTTTTGAAAATAAGAACTAAATTAGTTTAGTTTAAATAAAGATCTTGAAGAAAATAAATCTTTTAAATACAATAAATGAGAGGTAGGGGGAGGGAGGGGGAGAGAGAGAGAGGAGCTTCAAATGCTGATTTAGAAGATAAGAAGTAAAAACAAGTTTGCACAACTTCTTTTGAAAATAAGAACTAAATCAGTTTAGTTTTAAATAAAGTTCTTGAAGAAAATAAATCTTTTAAATACAATAACAGAGAGAGAGAGAGAGATAAATGGAAAGAGTTAAGGGACAGTGATATGTACGAGTCGCTTAAGCACCTAAATTAAACTAAGAAACACCCAAATGTATATAGGGAGAAACCTAAGTTGAATCTCTGGCAAAGTTGATTAAAAATTAAATCCTTGTCTATTTAAATCTACCAAGAATAGTAACAAATCAATTGGATTTAATTGATTAAGAATTAAAACAAGTGAAGATTAAATGTAAACTATTTTTTTTTTGGTATTTTCACAATTTTGGAAAAATCTGAAAAATGGTTGAAATGTGTTATGAAAATGCAAAATGATGGTCTTCCTAGGCAAATGTGTGACTTTTGACTAGATCAAAGTTCAACGGTTCTCATGTAGGAATTCATGATGACCTCAGGTCAAAGGGTATAGTGATATGTTTACATATGAGATAAGCTTATGACTTGTACCATACAGCTTTTTCATAACAGGTCAGTCCGGCACCTCAAACCCTTTCAAATATCTATGAATTTGATTTATATCTCTATAATTAATCAAAGTAATACTAGTCTTGTCATCTATGATCCCTCATAGATGACCGATTAAGAACATTTATGAAAATCAACATAGTTTATCTAAGGATACAATTATCATAGTGAACATGCAATTAGTATGATAATAAGAGAAATTCTATAAATAATAATATTTATAGTACAATGATCAGCCCTATGGCACAATTTCCAACAATTAGCATCCCCATAGCCTCTCCTTGTTGATTGACTTTGGAAACCACTATAGATGAAGAGCTTGAGATTTGGCCAAGATGGAAATGAAGTGGATGATGAATTTTTTTAGCGGGTTATAGTAAGGACTATTAGGGGAGTTGAGTGTTGGGTTTGGATAGTGAAATGGAGGGTTTTAAGTTTGAAAAATGGTGGAAGAGGTTCTAAGATAAGGGTGTTATTAAGAGAAAAGATGAAGATGAACAGAGGTGGAAAATGGGTGAAAAATGTGAGTGAGGGGGCTATGAATGTGCTGCACGAAATTATGATATTTTGGGGGTGTTTGAGACTTATTTAGATTAGTCTAATGGCTAGAAATTATGCCCACCAAGTGCCCTAAATTAATGTGAGCTTTGTGTGCATCTAAGGGTCTTTTCACATGGTATTTCATGTATGACCATGAATTTTGGCAATGAATTATTTAAATAGAAACAAATGGAAATAAAAGGCAACTAATAATCTAAAAATGGAAGGAGAATTTTGAAAATAATATGATGGGAATGATGAAAAAATATATAACAAAAATAAGGAAAGAGGAAATTGAAATTGGAAGATAGAATTATCATGACTATCCTTGTGTTTTCTTGAGATTTTATCAACTATTTTTGACCTTTTGATCATCAAAATAGCTCATGCAAGGAATCTAATTTCGTGCAAGGGACTACTATCATCATCCAAGAGCTTCTCATGCCCTAAAACATACAATGAACTCATTAAATAGCTAGTTGTGCACAAATAATTTTGTGTCTTATAAATTTATCCAACTTAGGTGTAAATTATGAAAACATGATGAAGTGAATTAAAGTGACTAAATAGAATATTAGAAGATGAATTTAGTTATGTGAATTTTTCTAGGAGTTCTTGATTTCAAAAACTAAACTTAATACACTTCCAAACTTAATGAAAAATATAATTAAAGGACGTTTTAGTGAATAACTCACAATCTAAGTTGAATTAAATCAAATTAAACTCATGAGATTAATGAATAATTAAAA